CATTTAATATGATATAGTATTTCCTCACCTGTAACTGTAAATTCTGTAACTTAATTTGTCTAATGATGGATGCAAAATATATAAACAACCAACTAGACTCAAGACCAACTAGAATCAATGCCCTACACACATAGTAAGCATTTCAAATTGTTAAATGCATGAAGCATAGTCAAAGCTTATATCTTAAGGCTTAATGATTTTTCATTTTTACAGTAATAAAACCAAAGGTGAAGGACCACTTTAAAGAGGGCCAGGAACAGAAAAGGATTTTTAAAAAGGGACAGAAATTTTCAAAAATTTAGGACCATAAAATGGGTAAATGAGAAGCTGATACTGGAGTACTTACTTTGCTGACTTTTTAAAAATGTAGCAAGAAATAATAATCAGAGATTAAGTTATCACAGCAGAAAGTTCTATGCTTCTTTGGATTGCTTTCTAATTCAGCCTGAACAGATGACTTTGCATCCACCCTAGTTTTGCAAAGCACACCTGCCCTTAAAATGAATGCATCAATAAATTCATCCTTTGATCTCTTATCATATGGTGTTTCAAAACATCAGAGTCTGAAGCTGTGTCTTGAATAGTGGCCAAACCTCAAAAAACACAACTCTGAGTTTGATCCTGAGCCCGTAAAATCTGAAGACTTGCAATCTCAGCCACAAGTCTTTTTTTTTTTTAAGTTCATAAAAATATGCAGAAGTGGTTCCTTTCTGTCAGCAATTTTAAGGTTTAAAGGATTAGATTAAAAGTTTATGGCTATTAAGTAATAAGATTTTCTTTTTAAACAATTTTAACTCAAAGGTCTGCCTCCTAACTAGCCCTTATTCACATAATAGTAGGATCCTCTAGTACTTTCCCCACCCTGATGGGCCACTTGGCTCTGGATTCCTGAAGGAGAAATGGATTTGTCACACAGACTCACAAGGCAGTTCCTGCTATCCAATCTAAGCCACTGCCATGGCCACCATCACTGCTGTCAGCTCTGGATCCCAAACCCCTCGTCCAAGCTCATCTCAAGTCTGTTCATGGTCTTGCCTCCTGCAAACAGTTATTTCCTCAACATTCTGTTTATCCCAAGGGTAGAAAACTGCCCCTTCTCCTTCACTAACATATACTATTAGTATATAGTTCTTTTATCAAAGGTTTAAGGGTAACAAAGAATAATTATAGTACAGTGCAGAAACAATCTCAAATTGAATTCTACATATTATTATTAAAGGCTTATCAGTATTCCTCTTTTTTTAAAAAGATTTATTCATTTAAGAGAGAGAGCTTGAGCAGGGGGAGGGGCAGAGGGAGAGCAAGATAAGCAGACTCCCTGCTGAGCAGGGAGCCAGACTCAGGGCTCCATCCCAGGACCCTGAGATCATGACCTGAGCCAAAATCAAGAGTCTGAAGCTCAACCGACTAAGCCACCTAAGCGCGCCGGTTCGTCAGCATTCCTGATCATCTTTCTCCTTAAGCCCCTTCCTCTGTCATGGTTCTGGAGTCTCTTTCCCTCACTCCAAAACTTTCTCCTATTTTTCTTCTATTTCCTACTCCTACTGATCTTAGCCAGAGAGAGGGCATTCTCAAATTTCTGTTACTTTATTCTGCAAAGGGAATCTAAGCTCTTCTCTTTCAGTCTTTCCCTTCCAGACATTGCTTAGAGACCTAACCTTCTACAACTAACAAAAAAAGCCCATCTAGGCATCTTCTAAACAAAAATTCATTTTTCTCTGTAAGGAATATGCCATCCTTTTAGGTTATCTGGCAAAAGCCACAGCCCAACCTAAATAATAATTTTTTCTTCCTGTAATAAACATATACCAGAAATTTTAGTCAAATAACTGTTGTAGTCTCCAACAAACCCCCAGGAGTGGCTATTCACTTACTAGAATGATTATCATCACTACTGAATTATCTTCTAAACAATTTACTAACTCCTCAAGAAAGTGGCTTATTGCTATGTTCGGAACATCTTCCTTTGGTCTAATTTCCTTACCTCTGCTTCAGTCTCTCATTCTCATGCCTACGTTCATTCATTCATTCATTCATTCAACCAACCAGTGTACATGGCACTAGGTGTGGGAAATGGGATCCTAGGACTCAAGATACTTTCAATTCAGAAGGGGCTGTACCAGTTCTACCTATGAACCAAGACACGAGGAGGGCAGAGTACTGTGTGATTAGACTGAACTCTAAAGATAGGACAAATTTTATCAAGTTGTCACTATCTTATATGGATACTCTAGGCTTGAGATGGAAAGTTGCTGCTTGCAGGCTAACCATTAGGACCTCCAGTCCATAGAGATATATAGCACATTTCTGCAAGTAGGCTAATAATGCTAATAATGCTGCCTCTTTTCTGAAAATATTGTATATAGCCAATGGAATTGAAGTGTCCTCAACTTTAACTGCTTTCCATTTATTCATTCAACTAAGAAGTATTCATAAGTGTCTATTTTTTATGGGCTTGAGAAGGACAGCCACATCTATGAATATCACATTCATTTATAACTATGTTCTAGGCATCACGTTATTATCAATCCAATGAACAAAGTCAAGAACTGTCTGGTCAATTATACTTCAATAAAGTTGAAGAAAAAAAAAAAAAAGAACTGTCTGCTCTTTTATTACCACAATAATAGATCTTCATATTATGATAGCTGTGAGTCAACAGTAAAAAATTATATCTAGAATATTATTTTGGAGAGAGGCAAGTATATAACGTATTTTATAGAGAAAATGTAAAGTAATCCACAAAAGTAATGTATTTGTCTTTCTGCATTTGAAGAATTATTCTTTAGTTACATAGAAAATGAAAATATTCAGAAAGATACTTCTTTCCCCAAGGATTCCAGAGAGTAGAAGTTCACTCTACTTGATAACATGTAAGTCAACTTTTAGGCAACTGAATGTCTTAATTCAAAAATAATCTTTAAAGTGAATTTCCTCTCTAAATTTATTTATTTTCAGGATCCATGTAAAATAAGGGAAACTTGCATAAGTATTTCTTATTGTTCCTCTTTTGTTATTTAAGCCAATGCTAAGTAAGGTACCCAAAGTCTGTCTTGATATACTCCTATCTCCCTAATTCTTGGATAGCACCTTGAAACTACACTACTCTGTGGCTGCTCACGACTTCCCTAGTTCACCGGACCTGATGATATCTCATGCCTGACTCATTCTTCAAAATATACCCATCCTTGGTCATATTCCTTCCAGCATCCAACCGCAAACTGGGCTAATCTCATAAACCAACTCAAGCTAACATATTAATTAATGATAATAATAGCTTAATACATTTCTGCTTTCAGGGAAATGTGCAAAACAATAGGAGATTTATAGAAATTTAATACCATAATCCAACAATAGGGAGTATTTTTCCCATTTATGGTCACCGACCAACTAAATCTAAAATTAAAGGAATAAACAAAAAAAGTCAAGGGTTATAACAAAAATAAACCAGTTTGCATTTAACTTTAGTTTGAGAAAGGGAGGAAAATGAGAATATACTACCTGACATTTGTGTATAGTCTACACATGTATTTACTGTTCTTATATATTTTTTTATTCAGTTTAATATTTAAAACAGTGCTGTTAAGTTCATACTTTTCTTATTTTAGAGATGACAAAAGTTAGTCTCAAAGAGGTTACATTACTGACTATCAAAGAGCACAGCAGGGACTCTAAACAATTCTAATCCCAAGTATTTTTCCACCATGCACAACTCCTTTAAGTGTTCATATCTCATTTGAAACTGAATAAAAGAAACACGAAAATACACAGATGCAATGATAAAACTACACTTCATTCCGCATATGGCCAGTTTAAAAAGTAAGGAGTAAGATGGGGAGGGAGAGTGAGCAAGCCAGGCAAGAGGAAAAGTACGCAAAGAGATTACTGAGTCAGAGATGAAAAAACAGGTCAAGGAGGGAAAGAAAGAAAGAAAAAGACAGGTGTGTCTGAAAGGAAGGATGAGCTGAAGTCCGGACCCTCTGGGGTCCTCCACTCGGTGTTTGCATCCAGCCAACACACCTGGCTTCACATCTCCAGAGCAATCTTGCTCTTCATTCCTCCTCCTTGGCTCCAGTCAGCCAAAAATCTTCCCCCATTTAAGCCATCCAGAGAACTGTGGGCTAGTATTTCCACAGATCCCCAGAGCCCTGACCTTATCTTGGTCCAATCACTGTAATCACCATAATTAGTTTTCCTTTCGCGTCCCCGGTGATAAAACTAAAAAGCTATTTCAGAAATCTGCATTTTCTTCCATCTCTGAGAATCAGTGGAAACCGGAGCACTTAGTATGCCCATAGTAACAAAACAACAAACAAATCAAAACCAAGACTTCTATCACCGAAACTGCCAATGATCAAACGTGCCTTACATACACGCTGTTTACTGAAAAACCACTGTTCTCAGATAGACCATAGATAATAAAATGCCTATACCTCTTCACCGCTCACATTTCTAAGTTTTTGTTTTATTTAGTTCACTTATTATTCAGGTAAATTAGGTACAACTGCTTTCAAAATGAGATAATAATCTTATATTGCTAGCATTCAACAAACTTCCGAAATCATTCTAAATGAACAGGCCTGAGAGACACTGAGTTTGAATCCCAGCTTAGGCTCTTAGTATCTGAGTGACTGCACAATTACTTAATAGCTTTGACCTTTGGGTTCTTCATCTATAAAACGAGGCTAATCATATAGTACCAATCACATAGGTAGTTTTAAGAAGGAAAGGAGATGAGTGCTTGGAACTGTAGGACATGTAGTAAGCACTCAATGTTATTTCTTATTATTACCATTATTATTATTAGCCACTAACCTTGCCACCTGGCTGCAGGAAACTTAACCATGAGATACCTTTTTACTTTATTAGAGAAGTTTGAGAAAAATACTGGGTTTATATATAATAGATGAGCAGTAATATTAGAAAAAAAGTCAAATATTTATGATCATATAACACTAAACTTGCAAAGCAGCAGCATCATCCTTTTACAGAGGGTTTACCTCGAAGTCTATGAGCTGAAGGTCAGCAATCAGGGTCACCAGCAGCCCACTATTATAAAGCTCTTGTGCAAGCTGGGCCACAGCTTCTGTGGGGGGCTCCTTGTCATTTGTGCCACACAGAATCTCCTTCATTGCTTGCAGTGATTTCGACACTTCCTCTGAAGCCTGGTGACCAAAAAATACGCTCACAGTGAAGAGGAATGAAAATTTTCAAGCCATAAACAAACAAAAAACCCCACTTCTTGGATTCTGGTAATTTATGGTCAAAGAACCCTGTACAGTTACAAGCAAACAAAAAACTGTTTCACAGACATTGCTTTATTTTGGAAAATGTTGCAAAAATATATTTATATAAAAAAATCTCTAGTATTTCTATTTGGTCAATATAATTGAAACACTCTTCCTTTATGTTTTTTTCATTTTTAAAAAATTATTATGTTATGTTAATCACCATACATTACATCATTAGTTTTTGATGTAGTGTTCCATGATTCATTGTTTGTGTATAACACCCAGTGCTCCATGCAGAACATGCCCTCCTTAATACCCATCACCGGGCTAACCCATCCTCCCACCCCCCTCCCCTCCAGAACCCTCAGTTTGTTTTTCAGAGTCCATTGTCTCTCATGGTTCATCTGAAACACTCTTCCTTTAAAACATACTCAAACATAGTCTAACCAATCTAGTCATTAACTATACATTTTACTCTTTTTTTTTTACTCTTAAAAATTAAAATGACTGTTTTAAAAGACTTGTCAGTAGCTACAGGTCTTTATTAAAAGCATTTGTTAAGGTTTTTCAACAAATTCCTATTACTCTGATTTTTTAATGGACTATTAATAAAACTGAACTGTCAAAGCACATAATTGAATCATCAAAACCCATTAAACTGTTAACCCACTTGTCTCTCCCACATAGTCATCACCTTTTTTGCTCTCTATGAAACTTAAAAACAACAACAAAAAACTTCTCTATATTGTAAAGAGTAATAGGGAAATCCACAGAAGTAGAAAGTGGATGAGTGGGTGCTCCGGCCTGGGGAGGGGACAATGAGGAATGACTGCTAACCAGTACAGGGTTTCTTTTGGGGGTGGTGAAACTATTCTTGAATTAGATATTGGTGATGGTTGTAGAACCCCGTGAGAATACTAAAAATCAGTGAATTGTACACTTTATTTTTTTAATTTTTTTATTAACATATAATGTATTATTTGTTTCAGGGGTACGGGTGTGTGAATTGTACACTTTAAAGAGGCGAATTATATGGGATGGAATTTACTCAATACATCTTTTTAAAATTAATACAGGAGAGCAAAAGAGAACAGGCCAAAAAGTTAACAATGTAATCTGCTGAATATTTTTAAAGAAATATAGTTTTATGACTTTCAAGTATAGTTCTATAATCATTATCACTGAAGGGAATAAAGAGAATAAGGCAAATTAAATACAAATAATTCATAGTAGCATGATGCTACTTTAAAAAAATAATTTCCAGATATATTTATGATCTGACTGAAAAAATCCTTAATTTATTAAAGGTTGGAAGTTTCTTCAAGGGTGAGATTTATCCACAGAAGAGTACTTTAAATTATATGTAGTTAACAACAATTATAAAGCAAACATCTGTATGACCATAACACAGGTCAAGAACAGAATACTTTCAGGGTGCCTGGGTGGCTCAGTCTTTAAGCGTCTGCCTTCGGCTCAGGTCATGATCCCAGGGTCCTGGGATCGAGCCCCGCATCGGGCTCCCTGCTCCACGGGAGGCCAACTTCTCCCTCTCCTGCTCCCCCTGCTTGTGTTCCCTCTCTCGCTGTGTCTCTCTCTGTCAAATAAATAAATAAAATCTTGAAAAGAAAATACTTTCAGAAACCCTGAAGTCACCTGAATGCAACCTTTTCAACCTAGAAGTAAATATTTTTATGTTTTTGATGACAGTCATTTTTTTCACTTTTCTTTATAGTTTTCTTACCTGTGTTTGCATCCCCAAACAATAGTGTAGCTCTGCCAATTTTGAACCTTTTGGAATAGTACCTGTGACCTTTTATGAGGTGCTTTTTTTTTTAAATTTTATTTTATTATGTTATGTTAGTCACCATATATTACATCATTAGTTTTTGATGTAGTGTTCCATGATTCATTGTTTGCGTATAACACCCAGTGCTCCAAGCAGTACGTGCCCTCTTTAATACCCATCACCAGGGTAACCCATCCCCCCATCCCCCTCCCCTCTAGAACCCTGAGTTTGTTTCTCTGAGTCCATAGTCTCTCATGGTTCGTCTCCCCCTCCAATTTCCTCCCCTTCGTTTTTCCCTTCCTACTATCATCTTCTTCTTCTTCTTCTTTTTAACCTATACTGTATTATTTGTTTCAGAGGTACCGGTCTGTGATTCATCAGTCTTACACGATCAGCACTCACCATAGCACATACCCTATGAGGTGCTTTCACTCAGTATTATATATATGAGATCCATCCATGCAGCTGCATGGAGGCAACAGTGTTTTAATTTTCATTGCTCTCAAGTATTCCATTGATGGCTGGACCACAATTCATCAGTTCCACCTTTGATGGACATTTGGGTTGTTTCCACTGAGGGGTTATTACGAACAGTAACATATGAACACTCTTGTACATGCATCCTAGTACACAAGTGCAAGATTATCTCTAGAGTTTATATCTATGAGTAGAACTGCAGGGTTTTAGCACAGGAACATCCTCATCTTTGACAGATGATACTAGCTGGTTTCCAAAGCAGTGACACCGTTTATACTTTATCCCTCACAGTGGAGGAAAGTTCTCATTGCTCTCCATTCTCGCCAACACTTAGTTTCATCCGACCTTTTTCATTTTTGCCAGGATAGTGGGTGTGTAATATGAATGTATGTGGCTTATTTGGCCTTTTCCTGACTACTCATGAAAATGAGTATCTTTTTATGTTTTTTTTCTGTCTTTTGCCATTTAGATTTACTCTTTTATGAAGGTCATTTCTTCTTTCTAATTGAGCCAATATTTGGTTCAATATTACAAGTACACAAGAATTAAAAATACACTTCTACATCCCTTACATGATGCAGGATAAAAAATAATATTTCTACATCCCTACAAGAATCCAAGACTGTTTATACACTGGGATAGAAAGATACTGTGAACGGAAGGATATTTATTTTATAGATCTCTTAAGAGAGAAATTGAATATATAAGATCCAAAATCCTATGGAAGGAATAAAATACTAAAAAAAAAACCTTACCTATGAGGAAATCCTGCTTAGTAGGACCTTTAAAAAATGTTAAAATGAGGTTGCACTGTCATAGAAACTATCAGGTGATCTTTAAATAAAAATGTTCTATCCTTCATATCAGTTTAACGTTTATACCAGTGTAACCCCTTAGATTTTTAAGCTCTGTAGTCTATAGAGGGATCCAAGTTTGGTCAGAGGCTCAAGATAGTGAACCAAGGGTTTAAGGCAAAAGATTCAACAACTGCATAAAACCTGAAATCCATTTACATGTATTTATAGAGACCTTATGTGCACATCACAGACCATATTTGGGATTCTTCATCAAGTTTTTACATTGGTTTTTGGTTTTGGAATATATGCATTTGGATAATAACATTATCATTTTAGTTCATACCTTGTCGGTTTTTTTGTCTTGCTTTTCCAAAATGGCCAAGTTGTCTTTTAGAGCTTTCACAATTTCTGCTGGATTTTTGTGTGATTTGCTAAACAAAGGCATTTTTTTCATCTATAGAAATCTCTTCTTCGGATACAGAATGCTAAAACAAACAAGAATCATAAATTTAACTTTTTAAAATTTTTTTCTAAAGTTTTTATTTACATTCCAGTTAGTTAAAATAAGTGTAATGTTAGTTTCCAGTGTATAATATAGTGATTCAACACTTCCATACAACACCCAGTGTTCATCATAAGTGCGCTCCTTAATTCCCATCACCTATTTCCCCCATCCCCCCACCCACCTCCCCTCTGGTAACCATCAGTTTGTTCTCCATAGTTAAGAATCTGTTTCTTGGTTTGCCTCTCTCTCTCTCTCTCTTTTTTTCCCCTTTGCTCATTTGTTTTATTTCTTAAATTCCACATATGAGTGAAATCATATGGTATTTGTCTTTCTCTGACTTATTTCACTTAATATAATACTCTCTAGCTCCATCCATGTTGCAGATGGCAAGATTTTCATTCTTTTTATGGCTGAATAATACTCCATTGTGTATATATACCACATCTTTATCCATTCATCAATTGATGGACACTTGGGCTGCTTCCATAGTTTGGCTATTGTTGATAATGCTGCCATAAACATCGGGGTGCATGTATCCCTTTGAATTAGTCTTTTTATATTCTTTGGGTAAATACCTAGTAGTGTGATTGCTGGATTGTAGAGTAGTTCTATTTTCAACTTTGTGAGGAATCTCCGACCTGTTTTCCAGTGTGGCTATACCAGTTTGCAATGAATTTAACGCTTAACGTGATTAAACTGTTATACCAAAATGTCTTATATGTTTTCAATAACCTTAATTCAGTAAGTTGAAACATTAATAGTGATCAAACTAAAATGAGTTTCATCACGTTTTACACCAAATTTAAATATATATAAATATTTTAAGAAAGATATTTTAAAAACTTTGCCTAAAAGTTTTTACTCAAAGTTTAAAATTTTTTCTACAATACAAATACAAGGATTAGAAAAAGAATCCCAATGGGAAAGGAGTACTTTTAGAGAATAAGCTTACATTTAAAACTAGAATTTTTAACCAATGGAAGTGATGCTGCTGATGCTGACAACCTGACAATAACGATGGTGTTAGATAAAATAAAACATGTAAAACAAAAGTGAGATTAGGACCCACATCCTGTGGTAAGGCAATATTTAATGCTACAATCACAAAATCGCAATGTAAAATTATTTAAAATCTAATCTGTTCTTTATTTACTCTTCAAACATTCAGCTGGCCATACTCACTGAGGAAATAAAGACTATCATGGCAGAGGGTGAGGAGAGTGAAGAAAAGGAGTGTTAATTCTTGTTTCTGAGAACATCTATTTACATAGAGCAGAGAAAGCTGAATGTGGCTGTCATTGCCCTACTGTAATGGAAGTATTTAGGGAGAAAATCATAACTGAAGTCTCTAGTTAGGAGAGGCATATTTGTGTACTTTACAGTTATTGGCAAAAATATTTCAAACACTACAGAAACATGATATAATAAATCAAAGTCTTCCATTAACCAACTGCTCAGAGATAACAAATATATCAGTTTGGTATATGTTCCTCCTGAACTTTTTCACACATATAAAATTAGATATATTTTAAAAGAAAAATAGAATAATAGTAAACATAGTATTTTGTAAATTTTTCCCACTTTTTATATCTTGAATACCATTCTATGAGTATACATTTAGATCTACTACAATAATTGTATACTATATAGTATTCTATTATACAGATACATCATATAATCATTATGTGGCAATTTCTTATTAAATTACTATATAATTTATTTTACCAATACCCTATTGATGGACTTTTGGGTTAATTCCATTTTTTCAAATATTTTTCTGATTAACAGTGATGCAATTAGTCAATGGAGGATATTACACAAATGTGTATACACAAATGTGCACACTAGTGGATAGCAGCACTCTACCTAGCTATTCCTGTGGTATAACCATTGCTATGGTTCTAAATCTCTAATCCCCCTAGATTCCTATTTCCCAAACTGGTTCCCTAGAACTTCTGTCATTCTGTGAGCTACCTTATGTCCTTCTAATAAATTCCTTCAGTATTTGTTTGTAATCAAGAATTCCAATAGGACATATATATGTTATGAAGTAGAAATCAAAAGGGTTAGTGTGAATTTTGATGATAAAACAAAAGACTCAAATTCTTGTTTTCAGAAGAAATGCTGTTTTCGATAGAGGTGCCTCAACTCCCCAGTGTGGGGAGACTAAGTGGGAGGGGAACTTGTCCACTCTCGGGGCAAGGATAAGTTTGAAAAACAAGTTAAGAGACCCCAGTCAGCCTCTAAAGTGGATACTGAAAGTTGACAGAGCATTCAAAGATAAAGCATGTGAAGATCACAATGATTCTCAGTGGGTAGTGTCAGGTGCAAAAAAGAGAGTCGGAAGAACATTGTATCATGTACCATTATAAAATTCAAGAATAAAATTATAAAGACACACTAGATTTTTCTTTAGTAGTCAGCCCTACACATAAATAAATGAAGGTAGAGTATATTTAAAAGTATATGTAATGTGGAAGTAGGGTGGGTGCTGAAACAATCATTAGATAGTTGGGCAGAGCAAGCAAACTGTTGCTTCTTACCTAAGTGATCTTGGGCACAGGATGTGATCCCCTTAAGTCTCTGTGATCCCATCTGTAAATGGAGACGATAACATCTCCCTCTCAGGGTTGTGAAGATTAAAGGTAAGTAGAGCACCTTGCACAGGGCCTTGTATAAGTAAAGTACTCTATAATGTTTAGCTGCTATTATTACAAAAAGTTCTATGATATAATGAATAAATTATTTCACAAAAGAGAAAGTCAGAGTAATTGAGACATGATATTGTCTTAATTAAGTGTCCTAGACACATCTGGTCCTTGAATCACTTACACATTTTTTCTTTTAAAAAAATATACATTTATTCTTTGAAGGTTAAATATTTAATGTTCAAGTACTTAGCATTAAAAGTTTTTTTTAAAGGCTAAATGCATTTGTGTAATTGTTCTATTTCTTCACATAGTTCTACTGCACTAAGGAAAAGATAATCGACTGAGAATTTCAACTAAGTGCTCCCTGACATCAAAATAGAGTGCAAATAAGAATATGGTATCATATATATGATATGACATGATTTTTGTCTATTAACTATTGCTCTGCTCAGTTCTCACTGTATCAAGCTAATTCTAATGTTAATTCTGGTAATATCACAAAGGTTTTCAGGACTCCCAAGTTAACATGGTAGTTAGCCACCATTTCCCGGATTGCTGTCTCCCAACTTTTTATTTGCCCGTTGATTTGTTCATTTATTCATTCACTTATTCATTGAACAAACAATCTGAGTAAGCACTAAGCACGGGCACCTTGCTAAAAGCTTGGGATAGAGCCATGAACAAGAAAAATACAATCCTTGCTCTTTGGAGCTTATTATTAAACAGAGAAAGTAAACATTTTGGGGGCAATGGGATTATATAACAGAGGGGAAAACACACAGTATAATGCCTCTCAATACAGTACTCCTTTTTTGAATGTTATTTTCATATTTTAAGTATATCTATTTACTATAATAACTATAATATAAAATTAGTTTAGTAATTTTTAAAATTTCATAGATCAGGGCGCCTGGGTGGCTCAGTCGTTGGGCGTCTGCCTTCGGCTTGGGTCACGATCCCAGGGTCCTGGGATCGAGCCCCGCATCAAGCTCCCTGCTCAGCAGGAAGCCTGCTTCTCCCTCTTCTACTCCCCTTGCTTGTGTTCCCTCTCTCACTGTGTCTCTCTCTGTCAAATAAATAAATAAAATCTTAAAAAAAAATAAAATAAAATTTCATAGATCATTATTCTTCAATTCTGGGATCCATATTATGAGGGAAATCAAGACCTGTATTTCAGAGTATGCAGTTCCAGCCCCTGATCCCCTATAAATTAAGGCAAAATTCTCCTAACTGCTCTGTTCTCCTCGGACCATAACCAGCCCCACCCCACCCCAGACTGAAAACATTCCTGCATTACCCTCAAACCCGGGGCTGCCCTTCCTACTCCCTGGTCAACCATGCAGGATACTTGCATGTGCATCCACCCCAATCACATCATTTACACCATTAGTCATTTAAAAAATGAGCCAACTGGCACTCAGTACTACCTACTAAACAAATACAAGGTACTTAAACCCCCATCTGGTTCTGAGTTGGTAATTGACCACTGTGATTCAGAAATTATCACCCTTGTCTGGGTGTCATTTGTTCTATCTATAAATTGAGGGGATTCTTTTTTAAAAAAATTTAACTAACTGTGAATTCACTTAGTCATATCATTTAACTCATTTTTCCATTTCATTTATGAAGATATCAAAACAAATCTGTCAAATATTTTGGGAAAGTCCAAATACATTATATTTACGTTAATACTAGTTTAGTTATCTTATTTTATTTATTGCATCCCCATGACTTATTTTTTTATAACTGGAACTTTGTACTTTTTGACCCCCCTCACCCATTTCACCCACCCCAACCCCTACCTCTGGCAACCACCAATCTGTTCTCTGTTTCTATGAGCTTATTTTTTTTTAATTCCATTTATAAGTGAGCTCATACAATATTTTTCTTTCTCTGTCTGACTTATTTCATTTAGCATAATGTCCTCAAGGTCCATCCATATCGACAAATGGCAAGATTTCATTCTTTTTTTATGAGTGAATTAATATTTATCAGAGAATTATACATATAAAGCACATTTTCTTTATCCATTCATCTGTTCTTTTTTTTAAGATTTTATTTATTTATTTGAGAAACAGAATGAGAGAGGGAGAGAGAGAGCATGAGAGAGGGGAGGATCAGAGGGAGAAGCAGACACCCCGCTGAGCGGGGAGCCTGATGCGGGACTGATCCCAGAACTCCAGGATCATGACCGGAGCTGAAGGCAGTCGCTCAACAAACTGAGCCACCCAGGTGCCCCTATCCATTCATCTATTGATTGGCATTTAGGTTCTTTCCACATGGGGGTGCATATATCTTTTCACATTAATATTTTTGTTTTCTTCTGATA